GCTACTTCCTCATGAAAGTGCTCAGGAGAATACATACCTTAACTGAAATATATTGCTTTTACTATCAGAATGGCTGGATTACATTTGCACCTCTGACTTCAGAAGGCCAAAGGAACTCAGGGTGCAAAAAGACAGGGGTCTTTGTAGGGGGAGGGAGATACTGTGCAACAGTACACACAGAGAAATGAAATCTTAGCCTCACTTCCAAAGGATGTCTTTGGACATGATTGATTTTCTAAAATGAGCTTGCTTCTCACATCTGTGTATGTGAGATGGACAGTTAACAGCTATCTCATAACTGTCAGTGAAGAGGCTTCTTCAAAGCATGGCAAAGCTGAAGTTATCAGGTTCGATAGAATAGGCTGTTTTTGAGCACAAAAGTGAAGCAATTGCACTGGTAGTGCTATAATCTGCTGGTAGGTGTTTGATAGTAGTGAAGAGATCTAACGTTCTCAGAAAAGGTATTATAAAGTCTGAATCATTATACTTAGATAGAGGACCCATAATGCAAGTTTGACTCAGCCTTTTCATGTCAGAAAAAAGCAGAGTATAACCTTATTACACTTTGAAAGTATTTCTCTTCTTTTCCCCCCTCATCCTTTCTGTTCTCTAGTGAACATTGTAATTTGTTATGCTGGCAATCTTTTTGAAAGGTTCTTTTTTTCTTCAGAAAAAAATAGGATGACCTTGCTTTTGACACATATGGGAAAGAATTTTGATCTTGTTGACCTCTTATTTAGGTCTTTAAAGTGCACAGAGGCCGGGAAGTTTCTAACTTAGGTAATGAAGGTTTGAAGTGAATACCTAAAAGCTGTTTCAGAGTTTAGCCTTATTGTAGCAGAACTGCTGCCATACCTCTCTTTAAAAAATAATTTGCTCACTGTAACACGGCAGCTATAGGCCTTCTAAAACAGAGGAAGATTGTAGAACTCAAGTGATCTTGACTTACACAAGCTGAATTTAAAATACAAGTATTATAACAGTGGCTTATAGCCTATCAAGTGCAAATACAAAGGCATTCTTGATGCAGTCTTGTCCTCCCCCTTCTTCCCATTTTCCCCAGAGCCCCAAAGTCTGATACTGGGGACTGCAAGACACCCAGGGATAAAAAGCTACAGAATCCAAAAGGCTACAATGAGGAGGGGAACTGGATGAGTTTGACTTCCATTCCCCCTTCTATCAGTGGTGTTTCTGCTGATACAGGAAGAAGCAGCCATCTGAGTCTCCTTATTGTCCAAGTTTGTTGTTGTTCAGTCGCACAGTCGAGTCCAACTCTTCGCGACCCCATGGACCAGCTCCCGCCAGGCCCTCCTGTCTTCCACTGTCCTCTGAAGTTTGCTCAGTTTCATGTTTGTTGCATCTATGACACTGTCCAACCATCTCATCCTTTGCCGTCCCCATCTTCTTTGACCTTCAATCTTTCCCAGCATCAGGGTCTTCTCCAGTGAGTGCTCCCTTCTCATTTGGTGGCCAAAGTATTTGAGCTTCAGTTTCATTATCTGGCCTTCCAGGGAACAGTCAGGGTTGATTTCTTTTAGGTACTGTGTTATCTCCAGCACCAGCATCTCAGAGTTTGGGGAGGGGGAAATGTGGGAAAGAACTGAATCCGTAAGTGCTCACTGTGCTCATACTTCACACAGGTAATAGGGCTGTATTGTAATGAACAGTGTTTGATTACCCTATAGGCAGGCTAAGTGTGTGCTTAGGGCACCAACAAAGCAAAGGCACCAAAAAATAAACAAAAAGAGAGAGTTTTTTTTAAAAAGAATTTGATATTTCAAAAACTAGCAAACACCCAAAGTAGTCATCATGGGAAAAATCAGAGTTTTGTTGAACTTCCTTACACTCCACTATGCACTGTTCCCACATAGTTCTCTTTTTATTACTTATCCACACCTAAACCAGGGGGCATCCTACTAATATAAATTAGAATAATGCAAAGGGTTTTTTATGAATATATTCTTCTGAGTTATACATAGTTGATTTTTTTTCAGACTTAGGACCATGCTGCCAACATGTCTGGATGTTATCAATAAATGCAGGTTTTAGAACAGAATATACCACATTCATACTATGTGCTGAACACTTTCACAGTCTTGTTGGCTGCAGCACTGTTGATTGTTGTCTGGTGTCCGGTGGCAGTAAGTTTTTTTCTTAACAGTCCCATTATTTAATACATTTTTCTGTGTCTCAGTACCACTAGGCAGTTCTTAAAACATATTTGGGCAATGATCCTATGTTGAGATCTCTTTCTCACCCTCATTGAGAGGCGCACGGAGTGGGCAACCAGTGTTCCCTCTATGCTGAGTTAAAAAGGAGGGTGCCCAACTCCCCAACACCCTACCTCACTGCTCAACATGAGCGGAAAGGCTGGGTGCCATGGCACACACAGAGCAAAGAGCAATCCCATGCCCAGCAAAGCTGATCAACTTTCTCCTAGCTCTCTCTCATTCCAATCCTCTCCAACTTGTGCAAAACCCAACAAAGGGGGGCTGGTCTTTGCCTTGGGCTTACATGGCTTTCCAATCCCATAGAGACGAATGGAAGCTCTGTAATCGGCAGCCAGCAGTGCCTGTCAAGCTTTGGAGGGTCCCTATTGGTGTTCCCAAGGTTGGAGAGAATTCCACTCCCACCACTGCCTGGGAGTTTACTTGATTGATGCTGGGTTTTCTGGGAAATGTTCCCACTTCTTGGACCACCCCAAACTGCTCCCTGAAGTTCGGGGAATATTCGGGAAGCATGTGCTTCCACAAACATTGCTTCCCAAGCCCCAAACTGCCCAAAATTCAGCATGAAGTTTACTTTGTGTGCCAGTTCATGCCCATTCCTAATTTATTTATTTATTTCATTAGATTTTTACCCCGCCCTCCTATCAAAGCCGGACAAAGTAAGTTTTTTGGTGGGTGGGAAGGAGAGAAGGAAGCAGGAAAAGGGGAGAGGCTATGGGAGCTTTCAGGGAAGGGAAAGTGGAAATAGCAGGGCAGTGGAAACTGAGATACCCTCACAACTCCTTGTGTGTCTCCAGCTTGTTTAAATATAATTCTTAATGTTCTAGAAGATCAATGAGTAATAATATACCTTTGATTAATGCTCATATTCGCATCATTTACAGTTTAATATTAACACATAAACATGAAAAAACAGAGAGTTTGTTGTTGATTTGTTGAATGCATTTTCCTTGATTCACTTCCTGGAAGATGATACTTTAACCTTAAAGACTGTTAAATACTGGGTTCCATATATGAGCAGACCCCAAGTCTAGTGATCAGATCAGCTTTATTAGTTATTCAGCTGATACAAGACAAAACCCCAGATGCATGCAATGTGGCCAGCCTTCCTGCAACTCTTGACACGTTGCGTCCCTGAAGCAGCAGGAGCGTTGTTCGTGGAGGTCCACGCAGCTGGCACAGAGCATCGGTGAGGCGGTCTCAGCGACACAGCCTGGCTGTGGACTCAATGAAGCAGATGGGCGGGTGTCTTGGCAGGTTGGATAGTGCATCTCCAGGACCTCCTCATTGTTGAACACATTGGAGGTTGAGGAAATGGTGGCCTGGTGCACTGCAGCGGCATGGTGGTCAGTCTTCTGGTGGCCAACCTCCCAGGACATCTTGAATGCTGTGGCCTCTCAGATTGCCTTTTGGAGGTTAGTGTCTTCCTGGCCGATGAGCTTGCGTCAGAGATTCTTGTCCCAGAGCCCAAACACGAAATGGTTGAGGAGGGCTTCTTTGAAGTTCTGGAACTCGCACTGAAGAGCCAGGTGGTGCAGGGCAGCAACATAGTCAGATGAGATCCTGAGCTAGCTCCAGGGTGGCGATTCCATAAGAGCTGAGCAACAGTGCTACCTTCTTGGCCGTGCCATCGATTCCATGGAACTCCACAAAGTATTTTAGGCATTCCACCCAAGCCTCCCATTGCTCAGGGTGAGTGGAGTCGAACTCTGTAAGTAGTCCTGGAGCGGCAGCCATGGTCCCAGTTGTGGTGCGATGCGCATAGCATTGGAGCTCGGTGCGCGGTGCAGTGCACATGGGCTCTAGGCTCGCTCAACAGGATCCCACCTTCATTGCCAGTGTTAAATACTGGGTTCCATGGATGAGCAGACTCCAAGTCTAGTGATCAGCTCAGCTTTATTAGTGATTCAGCAGATACAAGGCAAAACTCCAGGGCAACATGCTAACACCACACTCAACCACACCCAACTCCCAACGATAGGCTATTTACATAACATTAATTCCTCACTGGTCACCTCCAGAGTCCTGGTGGGCTATTGTTCTAGAGCTTCAAGCTCAACCAGTATCTGGTAGACAGTCCTGGGATGTTCCAGCCCCAATACATAACAAAGACGAACAAAATTTGTGGTAGGGTCACTGTTCGCTTCTTCACATATCTGGATAAGTGAGCAGTGACTCATGAAAGCTCATACCCTGCCACAATTATTTTTAGTCTTTAAGGTGCTACTGGACTCTTGCTCTTTTCTACTGTTACAGAGAGACTGAAATGGCTACACATCTTGATACTATAACCTGTCATTTTAAAGCATTAGTACCTCTCTCTGATACATACAAAAGAAAAAAGCACTATTCAGAATGGCTAAGGCACAAGTGAGACTTGATCTTGTTACTTCACACCAAACATCTATGAACTCTGGATTCATTCCTATCATGGTTTCCAGGTTTAAACTCGATGAGAGTTATATTGCCATAAAGATCTAGGAACGTAGCTAATGTTTATGTACTTTCTACTAATGTGCTTATGGTTCTACAATGGTTCTGTCATTTCACAACTCCATCAAGATTAATGCATGTATATCTTTAGCTGTAAAAGCTATTTTATTTCTGTGTATACCTTAATCTGCTTTCACACTGGGTATGGAAAAAATGTCAGGCAATCAGTCTTACTGACTAGTTTTCCTTCCTTCCCTTCCTAATAAGCTGAGATTCCCATTGGACACAACATTTCATCCTCAAAAAAGAGATGCACAATTCCTTTGCAGATATTCTTACCTTGTCTTGCTTGTAAGCCTAAAGCTAATTACAGATTCCTTGTTTAGACCAGTTGCTTCAATATTGATGACATCATCAACTTCTGGTTCAGTGGCAACTAGCAATAATGGAAACTTCCAAATGCCTCCTGTAATGCACTGAACAACCAGTGTTGCTGGATTCCTTCAAAATTAAGTTTAAAATATTCATTACAATGGGAAATATAATGAAATGCAAGTCAAATAAATCAATCAATGTCCATAGTGTGATGTAGGCCTATATTCCTGTAGAACTGTAATGTATTACAGAGGTGGTTGAAGTTAAATTATAAATATTATTTTTAGGCAGTATAGTAGATTCATTCTTACTTTGGAAAGCCCTGTCAGCTAAATAGTACAGCACTCCACAGTGGAATGACACCTTGATTTATCATGTCGCTGAAAAGAAATGTAAAATCCTGTCATTAAATTCAGTGACAACTCTCAGTAGTGATGAGGTTTTATTCCTAAGAAAGGTCAAAATACAAAGAATGAATGTTTTTTCCATTAAATTATCTGTGTATAAGTGTTCGTCAAAAAATTTTATAAAATTGTGGCACTGAAGATGAATGATAATGGCCTGTCCAAGATTATCTAGTAACTCCTTGGCTGGATATGTATCTCCTTGGTCCAAGTTCAACCTTATGCGAAGTCTCTCAACTTAATTCTTTTCACTTTGGGGTTTTCTCCGTCAGTGGTGCAGGAGAGGTGCCAACTACTCCTTTTCACATAATGAGAAGCAACATACTTTCAAGGCAATACAACTCTGCTTGGATTGATGCTTATAACTGATTATAGACACCCTGTATACATTCACCCATTAGATACATAATGACCATAATCAGTTAGTTCCAAAATAAAAACAATGTAGAAACAAAACACTGTTCCTTGCAGGCAATGCAGAGTCCTATTTGCATTCAAGAGCATATGGATATTTTTTTGTTCAAGCAGATTTTTCCAAGCACATCAATGGAAAGAGCAGACCCAACTACTTTGCATGCACACTGCCATGCTGCCATCCCTTGCACAAAATGAAAGTGGGTGCTTTTGTAGCCCGAGAGCTTTGGAACAAATTGATTCTCTTGCCCCCACAAGTTGCTGGGTTGGTGGCACTTCTATGAAATTATGACAACAGATGTTGGTTTTTAGAAGGGTCCTAAGCACTCACCTACCTCATTGGTTTGTTAGGAGCAAACACTGTATTGAAGACCAGGGTCACAATTCCAGTTTTTGGATCCCACTTTTTCTCTACCAAGTTTATAGCTACTGCAGACTTTAGCTGAGATGTCACTCTTTCAGATTCAAATTCTATGTCGTACAAAAATTCTACTGTAAGGAACGCTAAAATATATAATATACATATGGCATTAAAACATATATGCCTTTGAATTTTTAAAGCTGATTTTAATACCAGAAAAGATGTTTTAAAAGTTTGCATTTTAAAGCTGATTTTGGTAACAGGAAGGCCAATTTATAAGGAACGGTCAGTTCTGAAAACAGTTGCTAAAACAAGTCAGTCTTAATCTCATGCAAATTTCTTACAAATTAATGATTAGACTCTTAAAGTTACCAGGATTCTCAACTACACACATATCATTTATAAGCTAAAGGCCACTTATCACTTTTTACTGTAGGTATGTGACTGATGTACTTTTATTGTTGTTTTAACAGTTTCATTCTTCTATAATATTTCTATGTATTACTGTGAGCTGTCTCAGGTCTAGGTGAGGAAGTATCTAAACAATTGAAATAAATTAACAAACAATCTCTCTTTTTCCTCTTTCTGCTTCAGTTTTATTTCCAGATTGCAAAGAAATAAATATGCATGGCACCGCTTGGATGTAAATTATTGTTTCTTTCAGAATTGTCTGCACCTTTAAATTCAATAATGCTATTTCCATTTAATAATAATTCTTAGTGTTCTAGGAGACCAACGGGAAATATCACAAGAATAGTGTGATAATATGGATTTATGATGGTTATACAAGATGATAAAACAGTGGCTATGAATCAAGTACTAATGCCATAATATATGTATTCTAATTAATGGTCAGGGTTTTGCACACTGCAAAAAATGTGGTCTCTGTGATCTATTGAATGTTAGCATGTAGTGCTGTGAAGCCTCAGTTGGCCTTATTAATTACACACCACAGGCAGTACAGTGAGCCATTTGTCAATTAACATGGACTCATTTTTTTGCAAAAGGGTGAAGCATGAAATGCTGCAGCCACAAAATATTTTGTGTGTGTCTGTTTTTTTTATCTTAGTTTTTTTCATCTTTTTTCTTAGTAATTTCATTACCATATTAGAATGCCACCCAATGAATAAGCTCTATAGGAAGATTTAATGCATTTCTCCTATACCTGATGCTTTGATGTGAACACAAAATGGTTATTTGGGTTGCTTACATAGCTGTTATGGAGCTACTTCCAGCAGAAGCTAAACATATTAGTTAGGACTGGCCATTCTAAAATAGTAGATCAAAACTTAATAGTAAATGCAGGGTGTTGAGGATAAGAAAAAATTATGTGGGTGAGTCCTTGGGTTAAAATATTCAGGACCTAATGATTTAGAACATTCTTGGAATCACAGTCTCCTCCTCTCAGTGGAATGCATACCATGTCATTAAGATATGAATACCATTTCTGCCTCTTTCAAACTTATCTGTTGCTAATTGTGGTGCTGAAGTAGTGCACTCACAGTAGGACAGAGTTGAAGGCTCATAATTATTCCTCAGCACAAAATGTCACCACACAGAGATTCTAACATAAAAATGAACTTAGTAGGGGACAGGAAAGATGACATCATTTGGAACCTACCACAGAGACAAAATTGCTACTGCTGAGCAGATGTTTCCTTCAGCAATCAAATCCTACTCTACTACACAGAAAATGTTTATTGCATATTTCACACAGTTCAAATATGAAGAAGAGCTGCTGTTGGTAATTGTGCTGTACATTCTGGGCTTGTAATTGTGTTGTATAATCTGTCAATAGATTTCTTAAAGGATTATATTTGCTTTGTTTCCTTGATTTATTTATGGCACCTGCCTTCCTTCACTAATAATAAACTTCTTTTTCTTAGGGCTTTCCGTTTTATTAACTGTACTATGCTCCTTTTAAGTATTTTAATATATACAGAACCTGAGGAAAAACAGTATGTTTTGTAAGTGCCAGATAAAAGTATACAAAATCATCTCTCTTTGCTAGTCCCATAACTTCTTGTGAATTTCCCCAGAAAATCTAATTTAGGGCTGTCCAAAACAGAAAAATATAATTAGATTTTCAACAAATGCTGCAAACTCAAAGACAACCACATCATCCTTTTATAGAAAACCCTTTGTGAATATGTTAATAATTTAGCATTAATGTCTAGGAAGCTGCTTGACACGCATGCTGACTACAGCTGTGAGCAAAAAAGGATATGTATCATCACCACAAAAATAGGGAAGTTATGTGACTAAAATCAAATGATAAAAGCTCCAGGAACTTCTAAAGGTCCCTGGTGGGATGAAAAGGGGAAACACTGTAGAAACCATTGGAGGTTATTAATGCTTCCCTTGAAAAGCACAGAACCCCCACACACACAATAATTTAAAATTGTACGTACAACCTGCCAAAATGGTACATGCTCAACACTCTGTTAGATGTTCTTTCTTTCTCTCCTGGTTTTCTTGATGTATGCCATGTCAGTAATTGGAAGATGATAATTTGACAGGCTGGACTGACAAATGATTGGCTAAAGTTGGATATTGGTAAAAGACCGAGTAAGTCTTAGTTGAGGATTTTTGTGGCACATGTTATGTTACCAGGAGGAGCACAAAACAATTTGTGCCTACTGTTACTTGTTTTAAATAGTTATTGGAGCAAATGTTCTGCCAAATTGATATTCTACTGATTGTTTGTTTTTCAGAAATAGTTTAAATATGAATATCCTGCAGTATAGCAATTTAATCCAATGCCTGTGGTGATTCTATAAAAACCTTATAGCCAGCTGCTTATCTTAAATTTTAATTATTAGCCCCATCTGCAAAGCTTCAAATCAACTTGCTGTCACAGGGCATCAGAACTGCAGATATGGTGCAGCTTACATTTCTAGAAGTGTAATTTTTTCCTACACTTCCTACACCATTCTGGGCTGGTTTTACAGTTGTTGTTTTTTTGTCATTTGTATTCATTCTGGGATCTCAAAACAGAACAAAATTTTTGAAGCGCATAATAAAGAAAAAGCAACTTCATCTTGACAAACTGCAAACTGATGTGAAAAAATATGGTTTGACTGGTTTAATATTTCCAGCTTTGCTTTTTATTTGGAAGAGATCAACTGAAGAAAGTGACAAAGAATGCTATACATGAAAGTGAAGGACAAAAATGACACCCCAAGTGCGGATGGAAAAAGAATGAATCGGCTAAGGAAGGCTAGCCCTCGCAGACATGGCATCATGGTACCTTTCCTAATGGTAAAAAAATAGCCTTGGTAAATTCTGAAAATGCTATAACTTAATCTGGTGGGACATCTGGAAGTTGGTAATGTGACCTTACTATAAATTCTGACACAATGAGCACAATTCTAAACAGGTCTACTCAGAAGTAACTCCCATTTTATTCAATGGGTGTTACTCAAAGGAAAGTGTTTCTAGAATGGCAGCCATCATCAGTGTCTTTCTTTAAAGAAAGGAGAGAAAATATGGTAATAGTCATACAGATATTTAGCTATTTTTCATGGTAATTCTTCCTATATTCATGGACGACCAATATATTGTCATGGGAAAGTGCTGATAGTATGTGTTCTAACTGACCCTTTTCATTTACTTCAGTATATTTCAATAATACGCACTTAGGGCTTTTCTGCACTCTTGTTTTCTTGGCTTGTGTGCCCGTACTGCATGTTTTCCCCCTTTTTTGAACTTTTTTTGGTCCCTCTAGTGGTCACTTTGGTATAGCATTACTGTATCTCTAATATAGCATTACTGTATCTCTAGCTTAGAAATAAACCAGAGATTCAACGATGACACATCAAAGCGACCACTAGAGGGAGCAAAACAAGTGTGGAAAATAAATTTTAAAACATGCAGTATGGGCAGACAAGCCACGAAAATAAGAGTGTGGCAAAGCCCTTAAACGTGTTAAGTGAGTCTCATGTACAATGGTTGTAAAGTAACATTAAATAAGCTAAATTATTATTATATTTATGATTTTAGGACATAGATCACATTCCAGAAAAAGGTGAACCTCAGTGCCCCTGCTCCAGGACCAAACAGGAATTCCAAGCATTCTTTATGCTCTTGAACTCTGATCAAACATTTCTTCAGCATGAGGCCATGAAGGCAGAACCTCTGCATCATAGGCAAGCCAACTTGCAGCAGACAGCCAATCAATAAGGATTTTGGCATTGCGAAGCACCTGTTGTTACCTGTGCCAGTCCATTATGAAGAATAAAAGCTATGCATGACATTATTTCCCATGGTATTGGGGCTGTCCAATGAAACCAAGAACAATGGCTCCAACAGTTGACATCTTTGTCCATACTGATGAGGCTCTTGCTACAATGGCTAACATGAACAAAATTCCATGGCTACATCTATGGTAACCCATTCTCTATTACCACTGACTTCAGACAATGCTAATGATTGTTTACTTCTAACCAACAGACGCTTGAGGAGGAATTCAGATCATTAAGATCAAAATAACATGAACTATCAGTTCACAAGAGCTGCCTTTTCTGGGACAACAGTCTGATCATCTCCAAAGCCTTCAGACACATACCTTGGAGGCTTTAAGGCTAAGCTTGCAATATCTTAGTGCAGCAGTGAGAACCACCAAAACACCATGTTGGCCCATTCTAGAGGCTGGGCTTTTTGACAGTGTTTGGCACACACACCAAAAAACAAACCACACACACACACACAAAAGGATGCATTAAAACAGATTACCGAGGGTTACTTATCTTGCAAGTTGTAATGTACTCCGCCATGACCACGTGCGCGACCATTGGGCCATGCGGTCAGGCCGAACAACAGAGCTTCGCTTCCCTGAGAACAATAGTCCTGCGGATCCTAGCCCGCACCTATCAGAGGGCCAGGTCCACGGCCGAGAGCCTATGGGACTCTCGGCCACTGTAAATAGCCTATAGGGCCATAGTGGGTGTGTTTTAGGGGGTGGGTTCCTGAGCATATAAGCTGGCCTGCGAGCCGGCTTCCCTTGTCTTGTTCCTGATGAATAAAAGTACTTTGCTGAAATCACTCAACGTCTCTCAGTACTTTTCACAAGTTTTATCCTGGCACAACGTATCATATACAGGGAAGCCCCCAATGAGCTTTTAAGGCTGTTGACTACTCTGTTAGATCATGAACATCCTTATCTGACTGCGGGCTGACCAAAGAATGCTGATAGTGACTCCGCAACAGATGGAGCCTAACCCGGATGTCTAAATGCCCTAGCTGGCCTTGTCTGTGTCAGGTGCTATAGCTTTGGCTCACCACAGATCCCTACCATTGTGGCTCAAGTTACAAGACCCTTACAATATCAGAATGAGACATCAGATGGATATGCGCTGTGGTGAGATGCAAATTAGATAAGAAGGCATGTTGCCATCTTCCTCTGCAAGATCCAGTGATGATCCAGCAGCCAGTTGAGCCAGTAATGTCTTGGAACCCAGCAAAGAACATATTGACATGGAGCCTGAAACAGGCCGAAAAGTCAGAGTCTACTGAGGCATTAGCTGTGAATCACAGCACATGACTTCAGACACCCACCTTACACCATGGCCTTAGTACCTTCAATACTACTGAGCTGGATGCAGTGTGTATGTGTGTGTGTACGTGTAACGTGTACTGACTGTATGGAACAAGGACAAACACTCTCCCGTTCTCAGGTACTGAGCTCACAGCCACCTGGGGCCTTGGGATTCTCACTGGGTCCTGGTCCTTTGCTGAGGCTCTTTTTCATCTGGGTTCCTCTCAAGGATGCAGACAGACACTCAACAGACACTCCCAGCGTGGTGGGTTAAAAAATACCTCTGCATTTATTTGAGTCCTTCAAATAACTAAGAGTGTTTGCTCAACAGAAACCACTCACAGATTATAGCAATGGCACAAAAAACCAACAACACTATACTTGCACTGGGCAGAGGATGAGCCTGAAGCATTAACTCCTTGTGGCTTCCTTCACTGGGGTAATCTTGCGACCTGGCTTTCTCACCCGAAGGCTTAAGAAAGAGAGTCCACTCCCACGGGCATAGTCCACAGCATTTCAGCTTGCAGTCCTAGAGGCCTCAGCCTGTTCCTTTCCTGTGTGACTACTGCCCCCCTGCTTGGTCGCCCCTGGCAGCCAGATAAAGGCATCTTAAGCCGCTGGCCAAGGCCACCAGGTGTTTTTAATCAACGCTCAGCCCAAACAGGCTGCAACCAACCTGTGAAAACTTATAGCTTGGTCGCATTAATGAAAGCCTGAGATCTGTAAATTCTAATCCTTACACTGACCCTCTCAGTTTGCCTCTTAAGAAAGCACAGTTTCAGTTCCCATACACAGTTCAGTTTGGCTCTTGCTAACATCCAGTACACTTCAGCAAGTCCTCTTTCAGTATCTTTGTGGTTACAATAAAGTTACCAGAGGATTGTGCCCTTGTCTTCATGATACAGAATACCTATAATTTTAGGTTTGGGGCACTATATATTTTTCATTCATTTACTTCTTTACTGCATTAGTAGCATTTCTGCTTGAGAATAGCTGTTCTTCAAATGGACAAAGGATTAAGGGAGAAAATCTAAAACTCCCAAATTTACTCTCAAAATAATTATATTGGGGAACTCAGTTATAATTAATGTGCATTACAACTAAACATTGGTCAGCATGAGATTATTGTAATATGTTAAGAACTGTGCTATGCCTCTCTCCCAGGATTTGTTCCATAGTAAAACATTTTTAATTCAGATTATACACTACAGTACCTATCACCTTTGTTTCATTCTGGAATCTGACAAGTACATATTAGGGATGTGAACTCAGTAATCTCCTTTAGTATTTTAGATATTCAATCAAGAGCCTCATTTATTTTAGCAATTAACAGAGCTACCAGGGTTGTGATAGACAGGGCAAGCAGAAACAATCAAGGGCCGCCAGACATCGGGGCTGAGCCCAGTGCACATCAAATCCCATGGCTCCATTTCCGCAGTACATCCTCACCCCCTTAAAGGGACCAAGACCCATCACAAGTCCCTGGGCACCTGACAGTGTTGGCAAGGCCCCAGCACCCCCGCCCGTCAATGCTCCAAGGAGGCCCCTGGCCTACACAGAGCCAAGGGTGCCCACACCTCAGAAGGGAAATGGGTTGACATTATGGAAAGTCTGTGGAGTCGCAGGTGCCCTGCACTGACCAGCAGCTGCACCTTCCAGCAGGACACCTGCCCTGCTGAGGGCATCCCCACACCAACCTCCACACCACCCCTGTTGGTGGCAGAGCAAGAGGGGGGCTGCCAGAGCAGGGTGCCATGGAGGGGCCTGAAGTGCCTCCAACAGGACTCCCAGCAGTCTCACAATGCACAACTGTCTCTCCCTGACGTCCCTTGTGACAGTAAGCAGCCCCTCCAGATGCCCAGCAGCCGCCATCACAGATGTTGCCAGCCCTTCCATCCACTGCTGACCAATGGAGAAGGCTTCCTGTCACTTATGGCAGATCTCCAGCTGCTTCTGCTCAATTCCCACCCACATGGAACGGAGGGTGGGGGCTGAGCTGGCTGTAGGTGCCATGCCCAGGGTCTAGGCAAGGTGCCAGAGTCCCCTGCATCACCTGGAGAACCTGTGGCCGCATCATCTGGCTCCAGAGGATGCTGCTTGCCTTGGGCTCCTGCACCCTCTTCAGTCCCCACCTCCCCCAGTCCACTGCCATCTGAAGACATTGCTCACTGCATGTGGTTGCCCTCAGCTGCTGGCCCCAGTGATTCCATGATACCCAGCATCTGCAGGATAAACGACCTGGCCACCACAGCTTGCCTCATGGGGATCAGGGCATGGAGGTAGTCCACAACATCAGCTGTGAACATCTGGCAAAGGGATCCTGAGGTGGCGGGACAGAGAGCAGAGCATCAGACCAAGTGGGCACCCATAATAATCTACTTTGGGGCCACCACCTGGCCTTACAGTTACCTCTTCTCTCTTGCCCACCACCTCAGCAGCCTGAGAAACTTGGTCTTTCTCCCCATAAATGAACTTCATCTCTTCCTAGTTCGTCATAAGGAAATGGTGCCCTGGGTCATCTGGGTCTGGGTTCTTGAATGAGCACTCCTCCAAGGGGGATGGGGTGGCCATGTTGGCAGCTGCCCCTTCCTCACTCGGTATTCCCACTTTGAGAGTCATCTGCAAGGGGAAGGACAGGTGTTAGCAAGTGATGACGGTTTGGGAACAGTGGGGGTGGCAGGTGGAGGACCCCTTGCAGGGACAAGGGGTCAGCAGGACCCCTCACACGCATTGCACAATACCTCAATGACACAGCCACCCACCTCCACAGGTGATATCACTGCCCGCATGACAGCCTCAGCTCCAAGCAGGCCCTCTATCATTGCCTGCTCATAAAGGACACCTTGGGCCATGAGGGCATGCAGGCATTTCTGAGCAGGGCCAAAAGAATCATTCCAGCACTTCAAGGTTGAGAACTCTATGCAGATGCCATGTCCCAGGGCAGAGACCCACTCCCCTGCTGTGCACCAGAAGGCACGGTGGTATGCAGTGGCAGAGTTGGTCCTGGCAGTTGCTAAGGCTACACTCACATGCTCCACCACCAACTTACATAGCAGTGCCTTCTCAACCTTGGCCCAGTTAAACTAGCAGTTAAACTACAAGGGGATGTAGAGGCAGGGCAAGGTACCATGGGAAGCCACAGAACCCCTGGTCTCCCCCTGCCTCCCCCATTCCCATGATGGACACCAGGAGGAGACCACGCAGATAAGGGAGCCTACCATGGGGACAGGGGGTAGGTATGGGGGGGGAATGAGGGTGACTGGGCCACAGGGGCCCAACCCCCTTTGACAAAATTGAATTCAGCCCCCTTTCTCTGCAGGTCCTGGCCAGCCTGCTGTGGCATGCTCCCTTCTGCTAGGAGTGCAACTCATCCACCTACTGCCAGCACTGTATGTATGGGTAGCATTATAATGGCAGAGAAGTTGGTATGCTTGGCAAAACTATGCATGCATCAGGATGCTGCAGCTCTTCAACAGCATCTGCCTGGATCACTTCCACCAGGACAGGGCAAGCATCCAAGCCACGTGCAAGAGCTCAGGCCAGTTCTCTAGGGCCAAGCTCCTGCTCCCCACACCTTCCCTGTCCTACAGAAAGTGCTGATCTCCCTCTAATTCCTGGTCTTCAGATCCTTCCAAGGGGTCATGGCTGAGATCCTGAAGGTGTCCCTGTCCTCGGCAAGCCACTGTCTGCACAGCTTCCTGGATGCCATGCTGGGCCACCTAATAAGCGCATGTGCACTTCCCCTCAGAAGAGACAGAGCTGGCACCCATCTGGGCAGGGTTTGTGGTGTCATTTCATCCACACTAGGTGACCATGGATACCCCCTCCTCCATTATCTGTTGCCACTGTATCCCAAAGACAACTTATCAGACCATGCAGCCTACAACCAAGCCCACTGACAGATACGCATGGTCATCAGGCACACATTCAGCCAGCTGGTTCTGTTGCCTTCACCATGGGGGTGGGGGGAGCCATGCAGCTCCTGGCAGTTGCCAAGCTCTTCACCATCTGTGCTATGCTCCACAACATTGCCATACACCAACCGCTGCTGCCACCCTTTGTAGGGTCCCAAGTGTTGGGGTGGGGGCAGGATGATGCAATGCTGGTAGGAGTTAGTGGCAAGGCAGGATGTCAGAGGGCACACTGAGTGCACGTGGGTATGAGAGCACATAGGATGCAAAAGGTGCCCAGCCACCCGTACCATCTTTTGGAGTGCTCTACCCTCTTGTGCACTTGTAGAGGGATGATCTATCAGCCACAGGGTGAGTGGAGCCCCCTTGTGCTTACACCTCCCTTTGGGAATCTGCATCAATCCTCAACACCACTCCTATCAGCCACTGGCATGCCTGACCCCATGCTGCACCCAAGATAATGGGAGACAGTCACCAGATGCAGGGAGGGCTGTTTGGGGGGCCCTCCCTCATCAATGGTTCCTCTGCTTGGCACCCACATAGCCTGCCTGCAGGCACCTCGCCAAGGGTGTAGTGGGGGAGGGGAGAAGCTGTGAGTTGTTGAACCAACTACTGCAGCCAGCCATTGCACAAGCATATGTCACCTCAGTCAGGCAACACAGGGGATGGATGCTTGGCAGCAGGCACCCCTGGGGTCTGAGAGAGGAGTGTCCCAAGGCTCCCTCCAAAGTTCTGTTCTCTACCTTTTGTTCTACTCCCTTGAAAAGGGGAGGGAGGCAACGGTGACTTCAGAGCTAGGAATTCCCACATTCTGTGAACAACAAATATTCTTCTTTATCGTTATGTGGGTTTGTTTCTGCTGGCTAGAACATCTGCAGAACCGGAATATGGTCTGAGTGTCCAGCCAGTCTGATAAAGGAACTGGGTCATAGAAGGAACCATGCATACGTATGGATGGCTGATTCCTCCGCAGTGCAGTCCCAGACACCCAACTCTCAGAAGGTGGGTGCTCCTAGCTCTGAGGTCACTGGGCCCCAGGATAAGCAGGAGCTGCCTGGAACCTGATACTTCACTGCAGCAACTTTGTTTTTCATTATGGTCATTTTTCACAACATGGCCAGCAGGAAGCCTTGATGCATGTAATAGCCATGGCACGAATCCTTTTTTAAACTATTCCTTTAACAGCCCAAACTTATTCTTCTCCTTGATTAGCACATCCAGACGGGCTGAGGTTTCTGGGAACCATCCAACCCTTCCAGGTCTCTATAGGGCCAGACCCACTGAAATTGACCAACCTTGGTTTTCACAGCCACAAGACAGCCGTCCTTTGAAAAAAACTGATGGCAAGTAGTTTATCACAGGCCTCACCACTTGATGGAACACAGTAGACAGGATTGGACTATGTTCCATTGACCTTTTTTTGCACTTTAAAAAGCCTGTCTTGATCAATGTGAAGACTCGGCACAACTATGACCTGAGCTGACCAATTCCTCTCTGATGCAGCCCCAACCTCAATAACGCCGCTGATTGTTTGATAAGCACTCTCCTTACCCTGCAAGGCCTCCATGCATGATGTTTGTTATCAGCTGGGGGCAAGCTGTTCAGGGGCAGACTACATTGGACCTCTTGGACTGAGTTTGATGGTTACTCAGCTCCACAGGCATATGTATGTTCAGAAACAAAGTCCCCAACCACCCTCATACATAACTCCCCCCCCTCCCGCAGTTGTGGCAACTAAAGTCAACTTTATTTGACAACTAATGGAGGAAGGGGTTGAAGGGACCAGACACCATCTCCACAGAGCCTCAGGGAAAATGGGTGTCCGTCTCCTGGAGCAGTGCACATACAAATGGGGCAGAGCCACATAAGGAGCAGCAAGCTGAAGACAACTACCAACTTCTTAGTCTGTGGCCTGGACACAGTGGGGCTAGGGGAAAAGTGGCCTGAGCCAGTGCTCACCCTATTAAGATTTTCACCTGCAGGATAACAAAGCAGAGACATGTGAAACTACAACAAGGCCAGGAGTGCTTTGGTGGGGGCAAGCATGTTCGTCAGGGGTCACCAGAGAGTCCACTCTGTGGACCATGGGGTGGTACTCTGCCACAACCACCCATCCAGCAAAAGATGACCCCATCCAAAACACATTCACCTGTCCAGCATTAATTTCCACAGTAAGAGCTAAAGATGCATCCACCTTGGCAGCTGCTCCACAGAGTTCTGTTCCTGAAAGGGAATGAGTTCAAGGATTTTGTGGTAACCCACTCCACTAAGGATAGTGGCGCTCTGACCCCCCCAAAAAAGCAACCTGTCCAAGGGGGACCCTAGTCAATGTATGAGCTATCAGCCCAGTGCAGAGCCAAAAATTTGGGCCCCCTTCCCTGGTAGCTCTCCTGAGGCACTCACCATGCATCCCCCTTTGTATGTGAGGGGCCATGGTGATGTGGGCCCAGAGCTCCTGCTGCCCCATTAAACTGCCACACTGCTGGGCTTGGGAGCAGAAGGTGCCATTTCTGGGGCAGCTCCTGACTATGAGCTAAGGGGAAGGGGAAGGCAGTTTACGGAACAGGTCCCTGCTTACCTGCCAGTGTGCAGCCATCCCTTTGGGTCCCACCTCTGGAGATGTGGTACTTGTTTGGGTTCAGAACTGGGAGAAATCAGCCACAGAGTGTGGACTTTGCTCTCCACATTGGGTGCTGGTGCAAAGTGCTTGCCCAGTAGTGCTAAGTGCCCTGTCTGTGCTCTTCCCAACACCAAGAAGCCTTGCTATCTGCTCTAACTCTGCACAGCAGGAAGTTGCCAGTCAGACTCTCAAGTCATGTGCCCTACCTTGTGAGTTGTGGGACATTTTTGTAGAGATGGGGGGCTGCGAGTGGGTTGGGAGGGGGCTTGGCCACCACAAGGGAGGGAGACAATTGGCTGTGCCCATAGTCAGCATCCTAAGCATCTTTGGGCCTCATGGGTATAGCCCTGGGGAGGCACTTGTTTTTCTGTTCAACTGGTGCTTATGGGCTATGCCATATTTTTTGAAGGTGCAACTTTGCACCTCAGTCAGGAAGCATTCCTGGGCTGAATGGGCTTAGGGAGCCAACTAACTATGACTACAACCTGTGATCTACCCACAACCATGCCGGCACAGGGGCCTGCGTCTCAGTTGCAGTCATTGGGCAGCTGCTGCAGAGGTGTGCTGGTGTCTGAGTGGTGCAGCAGCGCTGGGGTTCTGCACTGGTGTAACTGGATCTTACACCAGCATACCTTGGAGTTACGCTAGCATAAGGGTCAGTTGGCTCCCTGAGCACATGTCCCTCCTCCCTTAGGATTCCACAGTAAATTTTTGAGAAATTTAAAAATTGCCTCTTCTGAAATCTACTTCACATGCTCAAAATCTGCTCTTTGAGAAGTATCCTATTACTATTTGAGCGAGAAAAAAATGTAATAAGTAAACTGATTCCCCTAGATCTTTGGCTGCAACAACCAGACAATAATTTCTGGTAGCTTTAAAGAAGTTTCTGGAGGATATTATTTCTTTATTTACCAAAATTTATAGGTTACTTTTTCAATCATTCCAATTGGCTTGAATTTTGAACATATAGTAAGTGAACAAATTCTAATCTACAGAGTATAAAATGTGTTCATATTTATGATTATGGTATCTTTTCTTTCTGTCTTTCAGCTCAGCCTTTCACTTGTTATTTTTAATCCTCTCCTCTTCCTTTTCTTATCTCATGATACCATGTTTGTGTGAGCCACATCCACTTTTTTCTTCTGTTTTTCACATCAGGTTGCTGTAGGCACTTGATAAAAGTTAAATAACATTATTACTGAAGTGCTGTGAAATACATGGAAACTATTACGTGTTTTAAATATTAGCATAAACAGTGTGGTACCTTGTTCTTTTTAAACAATCAAATCCTGTATGATAAATTCTAACACCTAAATGTTGAGATTATAGTTTCGGGGATCTCATACCTTTTTTTGTTAATGAGTTGAAATAATTCTTGGTTTAATTTAGAATCATGCTGACTATACTGGATTAAAATTCCTGTTAGGCCTATAGAAGTTTTTTGTAGAGCAAGAATTTATTCATATTTAAATAATTTAAATACTGAACCAAAAAAGAGGCTATTCAAACATGCACTCTGTGTAATTATCTTCATCTGTCTTTGGATACAAAAATACTTACTGTGTATTGTACACACTTGTGCATCATTTTCAAAAGGAAAAGGGAAAATGAAATACAGCTTATTAAATTATGATTGTGCTTTGCACTTTTATTTGCTGGTTTGCTTGAAGAATACTAAAAGTACCACTCAGTCTGATTTCTTGACAGGCATTATATTCATCCAAGAATAATAGCATTATAATGTAACTAAGTATAAAAACTGCTACTTATCCTACTTCTAGTGTCAGAAAACTTGATTACCATAGTACTTGGCTGAAAAGCTGTGATATCCCAAATAAATGTCATACAATATGTGACAGAAAATTGTGTTAATAACTTAAGAATTATTACTCCTACATATAGAACACACATATCAGTAATCAAAATATTTCAAAACGCCGTCATTGTGGTGATGTTAAGAATGACTTATTTGATAAATTTCTAACCATCAAGTCTCTGCTATTTCATTATTATAAAATAAAGAATACCACATACTTTGATATGAGACAGTCCTTTCAGCATCACATGCAGTCACATGACAATATGAATAGCTCCATAGTCAGAAGGGTTACGTAACTTGAATCAGAGAGCATATGTTACTTGACTAGATACTGTATTGTGCAGAAGATACATCACAAAGAAAATCCAAGGCCTTAATTGAGGAAACTCCTCCAAATAACTTAGTTTGTGCCCCTTTCACTGAAGCATCAGAGACAGCAATATGTGATGATGGGATATTAAATGTCTAAGCCAAGAACATTTTCTTTTTTAAAAGCTATGTAGAAGTCATTTTGTTCTAGGTTAACTCACATTAACTCCTCTAAAAGTGTACTTAGAGCTCCCTTCCTAAATTTTCTAACAACCTTAGCATTTATGTATTCACTCAGTCCTCCCATGTCTTTTATTATTTGACTAATTCAGGCCCCGGTCACGCGGTGGGAAATGACGCGGCCAAAGTGCAGCTTTTTAGAGCTGCACCAAAAGAGACACACGGCGGCGGGATCAGACCGATCCCCTGAGCCGCCGTGCAGTTGCTCCCCGGCACGATCAGATGCCGGGGGGGAGCCACGGAAGGGAGAGCGAGGCAGCCGGCTGCGCATGTGTGCGCATGTGCAGTTCGGCTGGGAGCCTCGATTGCTCCTAAAGACGGGCGCGCCGGCGATCTCACGGCCACGCTTGCTGCGCCGTTTCAGGTAGGTCCTACCATTTTGTAGGTTCTTTTTTTATGTGCATTTTCGGCCTGAAGGGCCGGATCGGGGACAGGTGCGCACCACTTCCCAGATGTTGCGGTGTCATTCCTGCAAATTATAAATAGAATGGGTAGGATTAATGTGGTCTGCACTTGATGTGTGGAATGGATGTAGCATGGTTTTGGGTTCTGCCCAAACCAAATTCTAAAATTAATTGTTAAGTACACTTAATATGGGTGTGGGACTGGCAATTAGATAACTAAATGAAGAACCTTAGAATCTTTTCCTCCTTACCTTCATACACTTGAACGTCATCCTGAATAGTGACTGACTTGTTCTTTGAAGGGGTTGAAGAGTCTCTAATCATTTGTGAACCTCTTGTGCTAGGAACTACGCCAGTCAGCAGCACTTCTACTCTTTCTTCTACTCTGCTGCGGGCTTGGCAGCATACAACAGCTGTAGAAGTAAAACAGTGACATAATTTCCCTAGATTTGCCTAGAATCTCACTACACTGAAACCTGTGGTTGCTTGAGGGGAAGACATTAATGGTATCAGATATTTCCTGACCTCCACGTTCCCATAGCAGGCCTCTGTGACCCCATAAAAAGACATCAATAGCAGTTGTGAGATTATAATGAAGAAAACAAAGGCTGCAGTAGGGAGGAAGGCAAAATTGCTCCACCTTGCTATAGTATTTGACAGAGGAAACATACTGGAGCATGTCATCCATTAGCACAAAAGCAAGATGGGGACAATTTCACTAAACTCACCTACCTCACTGCAACCCCTTTCACACCCTGTTTAGGAAATTACCTGTTGGATTGTGTTATATTATTTGTTATTCTTTGTGATAAATGGTCAATTTTATTTGTTAAACATCTCATTCCTGGGACACATGGGGGGATTGTTCTTATGCTGGCCAGCTGGAGAAATTCATTTTTTCAAGCTTCCAGAAGTTTCAAAAAGCCTCGGCGTACTCCCCCTCCCCTCCATCTTGAGCTGAGTGTGGTAATCTTCCTGCCCAAAGGGTCACATAGTAGAGGCAGGGAGAGCACTCCTCCCTCAGTTCTCCCTTCATCGCTGTGGAGCTACAGCCCTTGGATGACAAGTACAGCCCCCAGAGGGGAAGTAGGGAGGGATGTGTGCCTGCACAGAAAACTATTGACAAACAACAGTTAGATATGTGCAACCCTGTTTTCATCGTCATGTCTACTGTGCAGTCTCATACGGAAGAGTACCATGCTCACTTATCGCAGAAGGTGGGTGTGGGCTGTCACCAAAGAAATGATGTAATACTGTTCTTCCATCCGTTGCTTCTTTTCTAGAATCCATGTCAAACAAATCATGATTGACAAAGGTGGATGGAGATGACCATGTTGTGGGCCTGCAGATATCTTGCATGTTGAACCGGGAAGTCAAGGCAGCCAAAGAGGACTGTGCTCTGGTGGAGTGAGCCTTTAGTAGTAGTGGGCTATCTACTTTGACATTTTCAGATGCTATGCAGATCACTGATACCACCCACGAGGAAATAGTCTGGGAGGAGACTGTCCTTCCCTTATTCTGACCCCTGAAGCATACGAACAGGCTCTTATCCTTATTAAAAGAGATTGTATGCTGCAAATCTCCCTTATAAATAAAAGCCAAATGGTGGTGGCACTTCTCTAGAACATTCCACATGCTCCAAAATCAGTTCGCTCTCTGATCTGTCATTCAGAGGGTCTCCCTATCCACTGGCTGCTTTCCCTGAGTCCTGCCTCCAACATTCTAAGCATTTTGCTGTTCCTCTCCCCCCCATAGCCAGTCAGAACACAGAGGTTATTTGCATATGCAGCCTCATTAGCCTCTGCCTCGGAACATAGAGGTCGTTTGCATATGTGACTTGATTGGCTTTTGCCTCTAACATTCTAAACAGTTTTGCTGTTCTGAGGTAAAATGTGTCCAATCTCCAGGTGAGGGCTGGAGATCACTCAGAATTACAACTGATTTCCAGATGGCAGAGATCAGTTCCCCTGGAGAAAATGGTGTGCTCTGTATCCTTATATGCTGCTGAGGTGGCCTCCATATGACAGTCAATGTGATGTAGCAGTCAGGGCTTCAGAGCACGGGACAGGATGCAGGTATGTGGGGGGTGGAAAGCTGAAGAGTGAGGGGGAAATAAAGGTAGGTTGATGACTGGCTGGGAAGAATAGGGTTGCCAACTCCAGGTGGGAAATTCCTGGAGATGGGAGGGATGGAGCCTGGAGAGGGTGAGGTTTCAGGAGGCGTGGGAACTCGGACAGGTACAAAGCCATAGACTCCACCCTACAAACCAACTATTCCCTTCTGGGGAACCATCATTGCCAATCTCCAGGTGAGAGCTGGAGATCACTCAAAATCACAACTGTTTTTTAGGTAGCTGAGATCTGTTCCTCTGGAGAAAATGGTGGACTCAGTGTCATTATACCCTGCTGAGGTCGCCACAGCAAATTGACACTGAGTGTCCAAGGCCGGGGCACCCGCCCAGAGCCTCTTTCTAAAGGGGCATATGCAAATAATTTATTTCCACAATCGGCCTTTTTCCTAGTAAAATAGTAATGCTCTTCTAACATGTAGAGTGTGTAGACCTTTCTCGACTTCTGTCTGGTGGTGTAGGAAAAACACAGGTAAGATAATGTCTTGTGAAATTTGGAATTTGGAAACTACCTTGGGTAAAAATTCCAGGCCCAGAACCACCTTATCTTGAGAGCCCTTAATCCCATATCCTTCTAGATGAGGTAATAAAAACCAGGAATGCTGTTTTGGCTGATAAAATGACTAGTCACATGATGCTAGTGGTTCAAATGGTTTATATATTAGTTGGGAAAGAAGCAAGGATAAGCTTCATTGAGGCACTGGAGATCTTACAGGAGGAAACAGATTATTCAAACCTCTAAGAAATTTTATAGAGTGAGGGTGGGAAAAAGCAGTGCACGAATCCAGACCTAAATGGAATGCTGAGATTGCTGCTAACTGAACTTTCACTGACAAACTAGACAACCCTTCATTTATAAGGGACAATAAGTAGTTTAAAATCTCTGATAACAAGCTCTCGTCAGGCCTGACCTGGACCCAGTGAGCAATGTTGCCATTTGGAGGTGTATGATTTCCCCATGGAGGGGTTTCTAGCTGAGACCAGTACCTCAGCTACTCTTTCTGACCACTGAGCTACTGTAGAATTACTATAGGATTAGCCAAGCAGTTTAGTGGAGAGACTTCACACTGTGGTGGTAGAATGGGCCTATTCTTTACATGGTTGGAGGGAACACTCTGAACCTTCCCTTGCAAATCACACTCTCTTTGGCCAATATGGGGCTATCAATATGCAGGCAGCTCGATTCACCTTTATTTTGGCTACCACCTTGGCTAGTAAAGGGAAAGGGGGGAAAGAATATAAGAGTGCTCCATGCCAGTGGAACTGGAAAGCATCCCCAAATGACCTGGCTTACCACACTTCCCAGGAACAAAAGAGGGGGGCATTTTGCATTGCTTGCTATGGCGAAGAGGTCTATGACTGGGAATCCCCATTCCTTGAAGAGCAGGAACCAGTACTGATCATTTAGGGACCATTCATGCTTTTCTTCTGAGTATCTGCTTAGTCTGCCTGAACACTGTCCTGACCTGCTATGTGTATCACTGTTAGGGTGACTTGATGTTTATTGCCCACTGCCAACTCAAGCTGGCCTCCTTGCTAAAGGGACAGAAAGCCTGTGCATCCTTGTTTGGAGATGTAATATTTCGTTGTCATGCTGTCAGCAGTGATTAGTATCCACTTTCCTTTTGTCTTCATTTCCAATAAATGGATATGAATGTTAGATTTGTTCAGAACCCATCTACTACTAACCAAGAAACCCATGCAGTAACCTCCCCAGCCCCCAAGGGAGGCTTCCATGAACACCTGAATGTCATGTGAGGGAGCGCTTAGTGAAACCCCTTGCAACAGGTTCTCATCCTCCAACCACCATACAGTAGACTTAAGAACAGACTGGTGAATAGACAGTTTGCACCACTGAGGGTTGGAATTGATAGCAAATTTGAGACTGAATGAATTTTGGAGGTTTCTCATGTGGAGTCTGGCATGCTGGACCACTGCAGTGGTGGAGGACATCAGGCCCAACAATTTCTGAGTGAATGTGCCCCATGCTTCCCTTTTTATCTGCCCTGTGGTATGGTGGTTGAGTGGTGCAGGGCAAAATATTGCCCTTGCTGCTGTGAGGCTTGGTACTTCTAAGGCCTATAAGACTGGAAATGTTGGCTGTGCCTAAGAAAATACCTTTGCTTGGAAGATTCTGTTAAATTGTGAGTGATCCCCAGAGATTTGGCAGTTTATTTATTTTTAGAATTCTATCTAAGATGGAATCAGTTTGTTTACTAAACAATGTTTTGTCTTCAAAAGGCAGGCCTTCTATCCTGGCTCTAGTGTCCATGGGCAAAACCAATGCTCACAGTCACAAGTGCCACCTGAGCACTACCGCTGAACCCATAGCTCTTCTACAACAATCTTCAACATGGTGTGATGCAATAAGCTGCTGTTTGCCCAGTCCCTCTGTGTATAGGACTTTGGCTACTGCTTTTTTAATCCTCTGAGAGATGTTTGATTAGCTGGACCATGCATTCCCATTTAAAAAAATCTGACACCTGGGGGTGATAGCTGTAAAGTTTGAAACCCTGAGCCTTAGCACTCTTGAGGAATAGACTTTTGTACCTAGCATGTCCAGCTTTCTACCCTTCCTATCCATGGGGGAAGAGTGTGAGCCTGCTCTCTGGTTAGTCAGCAGGACTTCCACCACCAATGAGTCAGCTACCAGATGCTGAAAAAGAAAATCACATCCCTTTTCCTTAATCTTGTAGAGGTTCTCGATTTGTCTCATTGAAGCCTTTTCCTGACACTGGCCTAGCCCATACGTTGTTGGCTGTATCTAATATTCATTTTATTATAGAGAATGGTACTGGTCCTGAATCTGAGCTATGCAGAACATTCATTATGAGATCAGATGATTTTGGGTCTGCTGAGGCATAATCAAGTTCCAGTGCCTTAGTCATTCTAATCAATAGTTCTGAATAAAGTCTCAAATGCTCTGTGAAAGAGATGGGTGCTGGGTCCCCCACTGTATCATCTGGGGATGGCATGGAGGTACAGTACAATTCCCCTTCTGAATGAGGATTTCCCTCCTCTGAGTCAGAGGCTATGTGCTCAGAAGGATGTGCGGGTAAATGTGCCTTTTGCAAGGGTTGCTGCCATGAAGGATTTGCAGGGTATGAAACCTGCCAAAGTGGAAAGAGTTGAGTTGGATCCCATTGCCACTGAGGCATACACATCAGGGTGCAAAAAAATTGAGGGTACCGCTGAGTAGCAGAAGGAGGAGGAGGAGATTGGATTTATACCCCACCCTTCACTTGGAGTCTCAGAGCAGCTTACAAACTCCTTTCCCTTCCCCTCCCCACAACAGACACCCTGTGAGGTAGGTGGGGCTGAGAGAGCTCTTTCAAGAATTGCCCTTTCAAGGACAGCTCTTGTCAGAACTATGGCTTTCCCAAAGTCATCCAGCAGCTGCAAGTGGAGGAGTGGGTAATCAAACTCGGTTCTCCCAGATTAGAGTCAGCACACTTAACCACTACACCAAACTGGTTCTCAGAATCCTGAAGGAATTGGTGAGGAGGAATTCCTTGGATGCTGTGATCAGATGCTGAAGTTACTGAAGAAGGAACTTTAACCAAATCATCATCAGATGACTGGGAGTCTGGCAGTAGCAGGGAAGGCAATGGTGTTCTAGGGACCTCCTGGCAACCCCGGTTCATTTGTGAAGAGATGGCTTGACATGCGCTCTGTGACGTTGAGGCGGTGTGGACCAGCATCAAAGAGATCATCAATTCCAAGATGGAGATGGCAATTGACATCAAGGTGTTAAGGAGATCCTTCCCCTCGAGGTCCAGGTGATAAGGAAGCTCAAGGGCATGGAAGACCAAGGATCAACATTGAGGTGATATGGCTGCCTGACACTGAGGTGAAGGAGTTGGCTGATGTCGAGAGCTAGGAGTATGTGGCCAGCATCAAGAAGGTGAATTAGGTGAATTTGAATGCTGCAGCAACTCTAGGTCAAGGCAATTTTGGCATCTGAGATGATTTTGAAGTCATATGGCTCAACTTCTTTTTTGCTTTTTTTAAACAGGTGGCTCACAGGAGGCCCTTTGACTCAGTGGAATAGGTGTTATGTATTGGGCTGGAATCTCTTGCATGCTACTTAAACAGGGCAGTTGCCCTGCAGTCTTCAGTCTTGTTCCTGAAATCACTTAATAAAGTAGAGCTGTTCACTGCAATGCGTCTTGAATCCAGTATTTAACACTGATGATGAGGATGGGATACGAACCCATGTGTGCATAATACAACAGATTAGCGCCCCCTCCCCCATGCGGTGGGAGGCCCCCCCAAACAAAAAGCCAAAAAACCACACCCAAACACACCCCACTCCCAATGACAGGCTATTTACATAACATTGTCTCCTCATTGGTTACCTCTATTTGCATAACACTGTCTTCTCGTTGGTTACCCCGAGAATGCTGGTGGTCTATTGTTCCAGAGCTCCAAGCTCAGCCCGTCTCTTATGGACAGACCTGGACAATACATAACAATGCATGTATGGACAATACATAACGATAGGGTCTGAGGGCTTGGACAGCACTGCTGGAACCAAAGCCACTGATGGTGTATGAGCCCATTTTGATGTTTTTTCCCATCAGTTTCTCTGTAGCAGTGAGGGATTTTTCCCACAAAGCCACCTTTAACCTGCAGGCTCTATCCAGCCTCACCTTGGACATAACTAGCCTGCATGCTGGGCATGTGGAGGTATAATGCCCTTCACCCAGACAAAGGAGAAACTCAGAGTGCTCATTATTTTGGGCCATTTTCTTGCTTCATTTTTGCCATTTCTTAAATAAGGCCATCTCCCTGGATCAGAAAAGTTTTTTTGAAAGTACCTGAAGAGCTGGAAGATAAAGCATCCTTTCTCCATGGTGGTGAAGAAAGAACTGAAGGAGGAATGCTCTCCCCACCTCCATCATGTGACCATTTGGGCAGGAAGATTCCCACTCTTGGCTTGAGACAGATGGGAGGGAGAGCACACTGAGGCTTCTTTAAAATGCTGGAAGCTTGAAAAACCAATCTCTGAGGCTGGCCTGTGCATGCACAGTCCCCCCATGTGGGACTGCACAGTAGATACTATGATGAAACTCTAGTTATGCCTGTTTCAGAGCCTGCATTGGGAAGTAGAAAGTGAGAAAAGATCATGAGTGCCTTCCACTTAAGCAACCATTGGATCAACCTATCAACTCCAAAATAAGATAGCAAATAAATAAAGTAATTTTACAACAGCTCCTACATCACCATATACTGTGAATACTCTCGGGTATCCTAAATGTCTTTGCTTGTATGTAGGCTGCTACTCACCTACCTAAAAAGTTTATAGCCCACCTTTCAGAACAATAATTTTGAAAGTAGAAAATAAAACACAAATGCAATTAAAACATCAGTAAATTTATCTGAAGACACAATAGATGTAAAAAAAAATATAGCATCCAATAAAAGCCAGACTAGTGAAATACTAGCACTTTTATTCATATACATTGTACAGGAAGTATATGAATTCGTTGTTTTTCTTTAACCTTTAACATTTATGTGAATATGCTCTAATGAAAAGAGATTTTCCACACATTATATGACAGATCTAAAAAGAATCCAGATATGTATATTTAACAACATAACAGTTTATGAGAGTGCCATGCTGTGGAGAAAGAAAGAAAGAAAGAAAGAAAGAAAGAAAGAAAGAAAGAAAGAAAGAAAGAAAGAAAGAAAGAAAGAAAGAAAGAAAGAAAGAAAGAAAGAATTGTAATATTCTGCTTTCTACCCTTTATGAATCAACATGCAAACCGATGGGATGAAATCTGTAACTAACATTGCATTGACATTCTCCTTCAAGGTAAAGGGCCTTAACAAATTAGAACAATGGCAGTACAAATAATACCTATTCAATTAAGTTCAATAATTTAATTTCTCAATAAGTATCTCAATTACCTTCCTATACTAAACCACCAAGACAGACTGCTGTTTTCATTCGGTGACAAAAGCTTTTGTATATAATTGACTAACACATTTTGAAGAGTCCTTATCAGCCCACATAGTGTGCTTTTATGAAGGCTATTAACTTATAAACTGGTTCCCAATATGCTTAATAGTTACTAGGAGAAAGAAGAAATTAATTCTATAATTGTGCAGTGGCTAAGAAATAATACATATATTAAAGAGAGCAAAATACACTGGCACATGATTCCCAATGTTGAACTAAACCAAAAATCTATGCCATATAACATTTATTATACAAACTCATTTTCCTAAAACTATTATAAAAATAAGTTTTTAGACTGCAATACTCTATGTAGCTATACATATTACCAATGCCATTGTTTCTTGTACATGCATAGCTGTGCACTGAATTACAACCAACAATATATAAGCAGTAAACTTTGTTTTGCTGGCCTGCTCTTGAAGGATCAACTAGATAAGGCTGTAACATTTAACTGCATGAAGCCTCCTACATGGGGGGAAGGGGTGGATATCCCAAAGAACTAGGGCTGCCAGGTCCAGGTTGGGTATCTGGAGATATAGGGGTACAGCCTGAGGAGGAAGGGGTTTGGGGAGGGGAGGGACTTACACAGGGTATAATGCCACAGAGCCCACTTTCCAATGGCTTGCTTTTAATGGTTTGCTTTAAATACTGTGGTGATTTTAATCATAAGCTACCTTGAGTAGGACTCTCAAGAGGTGGCACAAAAATATCCTAAATAAATAGGAAATAATAGCAGGGTGCCACTACTCTATTTCCAATTTGAATCACAGCCTAGAAAAACTGGTCTTTTCATCTGAATAAGAATTAGTTTTGCATTCTCTTTCTTTTTATGTACCTGGTGCTGATTTGTATGGCGGTGCTTCAGGAATCCCACATATAGGGTAAATCCAACGGAGTGCCTTGATTTCTCCATTCTCAGATATGACAGTGCTGCTAAGATATTTAAAAGATTCTAGGATGAATGTAATTCCTCTGGAAAATGGATATTGACTGAAATAAGTTTTCTAGTACTGATTTGTGATCTCATGAATCCATTTTACAATCTCTTCAGTAGACCTGGCTTGCCACAAGGCGCTCACTTTTTGGATGAGTAAAAGCTGTTCAAATTGTTGCCACTTTTTACAAGAATCAAAGGTATTCTAAGGGAGTCTCAACACCCTGTTTCATTGTGTGCCTTCTTGCTGATCTCATTTACTGATCTAATTTATCTTGTGCATTGTGAACACAAGCTCTTCTAAAACCCTATAAAAAGTTCTGAATGGTATTACTGTTGGCCAACAACATTCAGCTCTATACAAGACGGTTGACTCTGTTTGCATCTGCCTTGTTCAGAAAATTAAAATCATGAATATTCTTTGCATTTCTTATTTGTACTGACTAAAGTGAAAAAATAAGGCAGTGGGCAATGAAATAGAGAACTGTTCCATGCTCAGTTTTATATGCCCAATGATACATTTTTAAATCAAAATATTTACCTGCTCAGTTTTTTGTTTAATTCAAAGGGATCTTCAAGAGACCAGTTTTCATCAAGGAACTTCTCCACATTAATTACTAGCACAGCTTCATACAGTTTCATACTCTGAGGCGCAAACAGTACAGGAATATCCAGTTTGCTTTTTGGAGGCAAAGAGATTCCTAAACAACAACAAATAGCAATCCATTAAAACACTGTGCAATAGCTAGCTACCTGTATAAGGGTCAAGAAGCGACAGTTAGAACCAGATATGGAATAAGTGATTGGTTTAGCATACGAAAAGGAGTATGACAAGGATGTATATTGTCACCTTGTTTATTAAATTTATATGCAGAGTACATCATGCAAAATGCCGGTCTGGATGAATCACAAACCAGAATTAAGATTGTTGGTGAAAACAACAACAACCTCAGATATGCAGACGATACCACTCTAATGGCAGAAAGTGAAGAGGACCCCAAGAGCCTCTTGCTGAGAGTGAAATGGGAGAGCACAAAGATTGGCTTGAAACTCAACATAAAAAAAACTAAGATCATGGCATCCGGTCCCCAGTGTTCCCTCTAAACTGAATTAGGT